CAACTACTATTCAATCAATTCAAGTCATGAATCAAGATTTGGTTCGTCTCGATCGCTTCAATGGTCAATTTTTCCAACAATGGCAACAAAATGTTTTGTTCTACCTGACTATCTTGAAGTTGACCTACATTCTTCAAGATGGTCTTCCACCAATTCTTGAAGAAACTGCAGATGAGTCAAATGCTTTGAAAGATCAAAGGAACAAGAGGAAGGAAGATGATTTTTTTATGCAATGGACACATTCTCAATAATTTATCAACCATTCTCTGCAATATGCATCGAAATGCTCCATCGACAAAAGAACTTTGGACACGATTAGAAAACAATTACAAAATTGAAGAGGTTAGTGCACCTAAATTTCTTATCGATAATTTATGTGCATTTCAAAATGATAGATAATTAGTCTATTATTCCCCAAGTTGAGGAACTACAACTCATGGATGATATTGCCATTGGAGGAATAACGGTTGATGAGGAATTCCAAGTTGGTGTGATTATAGCAAAATTACCATCAAAATGAAATGATTATAAATAGAAACTCAAACACCAAGAGAAGAAATATACTCCAGAGGCGATAACTTGACACATTCATATAGAAGAAGAATCTTGTAAGCGAGACGTCGAGTTTTTTTTTCTCAAATTATGGTTGGTGGCTTGATACTAGAGCCACTATATATGTTGCAAATGATCGAGATTTTTTCTCAAATTATGAGAAAATCATAGATGGGCAAAGTGTCAAGATGGTGAACAATCAAGCGGCAATTATGATGAGAATTTGCTCAGGTGAACTTAATTTCATTTCTGGAAAAGCAGTCACTTTGAAGAATGTTTGTCATATTCCCAAAATGAGGAAAAGTCTAGTTTTTGGTGATTTATTGAACAAGGATGACTTTAACTAGTGTATAAATCAGATAAGTTTATCTTGTCTAAATGGATATTTGTGGGAAAAGGTTATTCACAATGGTATGATTAAACTCAATATTAATAAAGCTATGAATTCTATTTATATGCTTGAGTCATTTCAATTAGGACATGTAAATTTTCAATCTATCAAATGTTTGACTAATATAAGATTAATTTGAAAATATGATAGTAGTAGTATATCAAAATGCAAAATATGTGCACAAACAAAAATAGTGAGAAAACCATTTCAAAAAGTTGAACGAACATCTGAATTACTTTGACTTGTCCATTTAGATCTATGTGATCTTAAGAGTTTTATAACTCGTATTGGTAAGAAACACTTTCTCACCTTTAATGATCATTATTCAAGGTACACTTATATATATTGAATAGTAAAGATGAAGCATTTGATAAGTTCAAGATTTATAAAGTAGAGGTGGAAAGTCAACTGGGCAGAAAGATAAAAGTATTGAGAAGTGATAGAGGAGTTAAATACTTTCCGGAGCAATTCACAAAATTATGTGAAACTCATGGATTAGACATGAAGTTTTGGCCCCCTACACTCCATAACAAAATGGGCTTGCCGAAAGAAAAAATAGAACCTCAAAAGAAATGGTTAACACATTATTAATAAGTTCAGGATTCCCAAATAATATATGGAGAGAAGCTTTACTGACTTCGTATTATATTCTTAATAGAATACCACACAAAAAGTCCAACATGACTTCATATGTGGTTTAACAGGAAACCTAAATTGGATTATTTGAGAATATGGGGATGTCTTGCTTATGTAAGAATACCAAATATTAAAATATCCATATTAGGACCTAAGACCTATAAATATTCATTCATAGGATAAGCAAAAAATAGTAAAGCTTATAGATCCCTTAATCTTGGAACAAGCGAGGTTATAAAATCAAGAGATGTGGAATTCTTTGAGCATATATATGGTATAGATAAAATGAAACAAAATGAGTTTAATATTGATAAGCCCATTAGTTCGCAAGATGATAGTACTAGTTTGCATGAAAATTCAAACAATAATGAATTTGTTTCACAAGATGATAATCCTAGATATCGTAAAAGAGTGAGAGTCACAAACTAATTTGTGGCTCCTATTTCTATCTTTATCTCATTGAAGGCAATAGAGAAAAAATAACTAAGGAAATAAAATTTGTGATGAATGCAAAAGGAGATCCATTTTCTTTCCATGGAGCAATGACTTCATTAGATGCTTCTTTCTAGATAGGCAATTGAAGATGAATTAGATTCTATTACATCTAATGAGACTTGGAAGTCAGTAGATTTACCACAAGGGTGTAAACCAATAGGTTGTAAATGAGTATTTAAAAGAAAATTAAATACAGATGAACAATAAATAGGTTTAAAGCTAGTTTGGTGGCCAAAGGTTTTAGACAAAAGGAATAAATTGATTTTTTTGACACATATGCACTAGTGGCACATATTAGTTCAATTTGATTTCTAATTTCTCTTGCTTCAGTTCATAACCTAGTAATCCATCAAATGGGTGTGAAAACAACTTTTTTGAATGGAGATCTAGATGACAAAATTGATATGGAACAACTAAAAGGGTAAGTTAAATTGGGTCAAGAACATAAAGTTTGTAAACTTATTAAATCTTTATATAGCTTAAAGAAAGCACCCAATCAATGGCATGAGAAATTTGATAGTGTAATTTTGTTGAATGGTTATAGTGTCAATAATGCAAACAAATGCATATATAGTAAATTTGACACCAATGGTGGAGTCATCATTTGCTTATATGTAGATGACATGTTAATTTTTGGTACCAACTTAGAGTATGTGTAATGAAAGCCAAAAAGCTTTTATCCACTAGTTTTGACATGAAAGATATGAGGGAAGTAGATGTGATTTTGGGAATTGAAATCAAAAGAAACAATGGTTTCATAGCGCTAGTACAATCTCACTACGTTGAGAATATACTAAAGAAATTTGATTATCTTAATCAAAAACCAATTTCAACCCCATACGACTCTAGTGTTAAACTGGTAAACAATTATGGTAGATGTATAAATCAATTACAATATTCAAGGATTGTATGCAGTCTTATGTATCTAATGTATTGTACAAGATCCGATATAGCGTTTGCCGTTGGAATGTTGAGTAGATTCACTAGTAATCCAAGCAATAAACATTGGGAAGGGATTTCAGGAGTATTTAGATACTTGAAAGAAATGATTGATTATGGATACATTATCATAGTTATCCTTCTGTTTTAGAAGGATATAGTGATGCTGGCTAGAATACTGATATGGAGCCCAAATAATCAAATGGGTGGATATTTACTCTTGGTGTAGGAGCAATCTCTTGGGGATCCTAGAAACAAGCATGCATTTCACACTCGACAATGGAATTTGAGTTGACTGCTTTGGGATCACTTGTAAAGAAGGTGAATGGATTACAGATTTGGTGATGGAAATTCCTTTATGGAAGAAACCAGCCCCTTCAAACTCGTGCAATGAGCAAGACATATAATAGAAAGTCTAGACATGTTGGTCATAGACACAATTACATAAAACAACTTCTTATTTGTGGAGTAATAAGTTTGACATATGTTAAATCAATTGAGAATTTGGGGGATCCTTTAACAAAAGGGCTCACGTGAGACATGGTTTATAAAACATCAAAAGTGATGGGACTAAGGTCTATTAAATGACAAACACTTCAACAAAAACTCAACCAAAGTTTTGAAATATAGGCTTTGGTTCAATAGGTAAGAACAAATCGAATATGTGAATATGTAAGAATGCTAGAAAATATTTATAATTCCATCTATAAATGTCATATTAGTTCTAGCAACATAAGGACACTTATCTGGTAGAGGTTGAGTATGGTATTGTACTCTTAATAAATCTATAGCGAATAGCGAGGATGTAAAGACAAGGACATCCTAGATAGATTTTTATATAAGTAAGGAAGTTTGGCTATTTCTGAAAGAGATTAAATGACATTTCTTTAGGATTACTTAATTATGAAACAGGGTATGCGCACGGCCATAAAGCGTGGATTAAAGAATTCTAGAGAGATCCATAATAAGTATGTTCAATATATTTGACTAAGCCATGTAAGGTCCTTGGTTCAAAGTTGCGACTACCACATCACCTGACAAAGCCTTGATATATTTGGACTAACTAGGGGTTCAAGGTTAAGGACACCTCATACGCTATGTACTTATTTTGAAGTATCATAGAAGACGTACATATATTTGAAGTATGGGGAGAAGTGTTGGAAAATTTCAAATATATTAGAAACATTGTTTGAAATGGTTGTGTACTAGTGAGCAATTGTGAGTGAAAATTTATATCCATCACCAAATGGATGATATGAGCATATTTATGTGACTTAGTATGTTTGTTTTCGTGCATTTATGTTCTTAGTTCTTAGTTATGTTAGTAGTTTAAGCCATTTTTGTGTGTTTGTAGGTTCTTTGGGCCAAGGATGCAAGAAGGTGCATTTTGGAGCACTTTGGAGCATTTTTGGGCCAAGATTGGATGGTGCAAACATGGAGACATGAGGATGGACGAATTTGATGATTCAAAGGGCTAGAAATCTGCATGTGTGTGTGCAAAGTGTTGGCCTACAATTTCAAACATCATAGATGCCATGTGATGGCAGAAAATGTGTTTATTGCTAGCTAAATGGATGAAGAACATGTATGTGCAAGTATAAACACCACATGGGCAGCAAGAAGGAAAGAAAACAGCAAGGAACACACCACATAGGCAGCAAGGAATCAGAAATTAAAGCATGGATGAGTGGGAAGTGATGAGGATAGCACACACACACACACACACGGCAATGGAATGGAGTTGGCAGATTTCTACAACATTGGTAGTGAATGGACAGCAAGGAATGGCAGAAATTGGACCACTATGAGGTGGATTTCTGGTTGGTCTTCCACTTATAACTTTGGGTGGCTTTGGAATGATTGTTTCTAGGTGGAAAAAGCACAAAAACAGCACACACACATGCAAAATGGAGCTGGCAGCTTCACATCCTTCCATTGCCGTGAGTGCCTTGTCCATTACCTTGCATTGCTTTGACATTTTCAACCTCTATATAAACACCATTCAGCCTTCAAGGAAGACACACAGCCATTCATACACATTTCCATTAGTTCTAAGGCTTGCAAAGAAGGAGGAGTGCTTGGAGTTGTGCTAGCCATTCCATTGGAGTTGTTGGAGCATTCTAGGTGTCTTCTACTTTGTTTCTCTATGTTTAATATCAATTGTTTTTGTTTAATTGCAAGTATGAGGAACTAAACCCTTACTTAGCTAGGGTGAAGTTCGAAGCCATGAACATGTTTGAGATATGAATTGATTTCTTCCAATTGTGATTTAATAAGTTGTGAATGCAATTCAATTAACTATTTTCTTCAAAACTAATTCTTGTATGTTGATTAAGGATGCATACTTAGTTTTCATGCATGAATTTGATGCTAGGATATAAATGAGTTTCACCTAATCGTTACAAGTTTATATTCATTGGTAGTGAAGGTTGCTAGTCACAATCGCGTTAATTGAATTCTTGGCAAACGTATCATGCATTCATAGTTACGAATGCCTCGTTAACACTTATGATTTTCATAGAACGTAATGATCTTTGATTGTATCTCTATTATGCATTCATGTAGAGGACTTTTGGAGAATAATTTGGATTGTCGTATGCATTCATCCAATTCAATAAATCAAGGAAAATCTGAGGATTAATTCGTGCATCACGGTTAATCTGGGGTGTTGAGTTTCATAATCTATTGAAAAGCAATTGGAAATCAATTCATGTACAAGTGTGTCATGTGTGAAGAATGGATCTCTAGCTAATCCATAAACCATCTATTTAGTTTTACTTTTTGTTGTTATCTCAATCTCATCCAAACCAATACCTCCCATTTACTTTCTTGTATCGAAGTGTGTTTAAGTTTGTTTAGTTTGTGCCTTAAAGTATTTTGAACTCTTTGAGTCTAGTTTAGTGTTTTAAAGCCTACTTTTGTGTTTTTAAGTTTCTTCTTATATTCTTGAGTCTTATATTTGTTGATTAGCATCCCTAGTTAATCCCCGGTCTAGAACGATCCCTACTTGCATCATTACTACAATTGTCATCAATAGGGTTTAATTTGTGTGTCAAGTAATTTTACGCATCAATGGATATATATGATTCTTAAAGGTTTCAATTAAATTATGAAATGATGCATGGTGAGTCGATAATATACTATATATTTTACCCTAATCTTAATATTAATTTATTAATTATTTTGTGAGAATTTTGATACTTTGACTTATATTTCCAATGTAGGGCATTGGACTTCTCCTTGAGTAAAAAGTGGTCAAATGGAAAAACTTTGGAGCCAATTGGAGGATGTTCGTGTGCCTTTCAACTTGTTTATGTTAAAGTTTCAGAACTTTATACCAAGCGGATAATTTATGGCGATGAAATAAAGGAGCAGCGCGCGGTGGTGTCAAACTGATGTTTTGGGCTTATCTGGGCTTTTTGGAGTTCAAGATGATGTCTTTTAGGTTCGAGGCCTTCTGCAATTATGTTTGGGACATCTCAAGCTTTAATTTAAGTCATTTTGGGCCTTTTTTGAAGCCCTAAAAGTCTAAAAATGTGGCTGATTTGTGGCTGGGTAGATTACCAGATTTGATCAGGATTATGTTTCCTAGTTTCTCTTAAGTTATTATGTTTCCTAGTTTTTAGAAGACCTTTTCTAGTATGGATTTTATTTTGTAGTAGTATAAATAAGGCTTTTTAGCCATTAGGGTTTAGAGAAGAACACATACACTACTAAGAATGCACGCATTAGTTTGGAGAATTCGGCATAGAGAGCCTTTGACGATTCAAGTTTGTTTTCAAGGTGTTCAATCCATGTTCTTAATAATATTTTGCTTTATGATTGTTCGTAACTAGTTTTGTTTGCTAGGGTGAGGCCACGAGCCTTAGCAAAAATATGTAGTTTCTTTTCAATTTGCTTATGATATTATGCATGCAAGTTTTGAATTATTAATCACCATGTTGAAACTATCTAATTGTCTTAATGATTGGCCGCCATTAAGATATTTAGAAAAGTAATTTGATGCAATTTTGGCAGAGGGCTGTCCCTGAAATTGGCATTGGCTTCTTGTGGTTAATATGTGTAACTTCTTAGGATGGACGACACGTCTTAAGGGTTATATGGTTTTTCAAAAGATTTTCACAGAACTTAATGAGTCTTGCATGTTCACATTCGATTTGGATGCCACAAATGGGTTACATGTTAGATATACGTTCTATGTTGGATGTTCCAAGTAGAACATACGTTAGGAAAATCTAACCTTCAAAATATGCATGTGTAATTCATAAGTAATTGGATGAACTATGAAGGATTGTTAAGGTGACAGCCGAACCCTAGTGCTCAAATTGAGTTTCAAAACTATTTTTTTTTGTTTCATTTACTTTGCCAATATATATATATATATTTTTTTTTAAAAAAAAAAAAATTAAATTCATTTTTTAATATTTTTCATTAAATCAACATTTTCCAAACTCTGTTTTTAAATAATTAATTAAGATTTGGTATTTACATAAGTTTTCATTCAATCCCTGTGGAAAACGACCTTACTAGAGCCGACTATACTACAATTGCCTTGTACTCTTGCAAGTATTTAAGTGTTTTTATCCTTACTTTTGCAGGTGGTAAAAATCTTAGCAATGCATCATTATACTCGTTTAACTTATTGGGTTTAGAATTGAAGGGTTACAACTGTTGAATATTTTAAGAATATATATATATATATATATATATGTGTGTGTGGCTGCTGTTTGATAGAGGATGGGAAGTTGGGTTCTCTTTGAAATTAAACACTGCACCTTTTTCTATTTGGCAAAAAGACATGATGCATTTTGAACAGATGCATTCCTTTACGAATAGATATGATCATTGGTAATTGGTCTCTTGTATCAGGCATACCCATTAGAAATACTGCTGCAATGTTCAGTTGTATCTCATGGTGAGAGGGCATACCTAAATCCAAAGGATATGGCTAAAAGGTGCAATTCTCTCTATATATATTGGTAACATTAGTAGAAGAGAAATCATTCAGAAATTTGTTGTCTACATTTGCTCTTTCTTCTTTCTCCATCACATTCATACAATTTCTTTCTAGTTATTTCTAAAGGAATACAATTCGATTTTGCTAATCGAATAATCCTGTAACAACCAGTCCCAGATTTGTGGAATCAAAAGGGTAATTTGGTAATTTCATTTTGGTTGTGGGATATTTGTTTGAAATGTTGCTTTATGGCCTTAATTGGTGTGCCCAAAGGGGCCCTCCCTTTGATTTTGTCCCCCAGCCCATTTCTCCTTCTTTTTCTCCCTCTTCTCATGAGTCATATTTTTCCTTCTCTTCATACTTTCAATGCTCTCTTTTTTCTTCGAAGACCATACACACACACATACACGAACAGTCATCACCATCACAGCTAGATTATCACTACATTTGCTCCTTCTTGTCTTTGTCAACTCTGCAACTACGCTTACTCAACGAAACAACGACTTCCTCTGATGGCTTAACTCAGAACCCGACTAACCGAGGTGAGTACGTTGAGTTTCGGTTGTATCTTCATCTCTAATGAGAGTTTTTGGGAACCCATGTTGTTTTTTAGTTGAAAACCTGAAGGTTTTAACCTTGTTTATACGTGTTCTTCTCCTTCCTAGTTGTCTGGCAAAACCTGACGGCTTGCGAGCCAATTTCCAGCCATCTCCGGCCACTACCAAGGAAACCAAAGGTATCACCATAATCTATACTTGTTTGTCTTCATTTTGGTAGGTAGAACGTAGGTTATGGTTGAGGTTCAAGGTTAACCAAAGCTTGGGAAGCTCTGGCCTTCTTTTTCCTTGAAATGGCCAACTTGGCCTGGAAACAGGTCAAACCTGATCCAACAACACTAGACTGGCCTAACGAGTTGGGCCATGAACCTAGGCCCAGGCCCGATTACTTAACCCAGCCCAAATGACAATCCAAGCTTAACCCAGCTTTCGACCCAACCCAGATGTCTTAGGTCCAAACCCAAAAACCATCTCATCCTAGAACCTTGGCTAGCGCATGGAGCATTGTACTCTGCCGCCATCCATGGCGGCGCTGGCGACTTTTTCGACGACCCAAATCGACGAGTAGGGGTACCTAAGGTCCCCTCTTATGTTTTTCGACGTACTGAATCTCTTTACAATGTTCGTTTGCCAAAATTCAACCATTTTAGTATAGTTTTATTAATTGGTACCTTTATGTGCTTAGGTGCAATTGTGTATGGCGTTTCAGTCCTCTCTTGCTTGCATGGCTCTTCGATGGCGAAGTATTTGTAAGTGGACCCCTTTTAAAATGCATATTTAACTATTAGAAATGCATACATGAAAATCATGATTTGTTGGTTACGTTTTATGAAACGTTTATGAGTAAATTGGATGTACACTTTATGATATATTATGCTTTATTGACTATACTATATACCTACTTATGAACGTGGTTTTATGATATGAAATTTTAGTTACTGAGCTCCGATTTGAGATATATATATATATATATATATATATTAGAATTATTATATTAATGTTTTTATGTGCTTACTTAATGGTCCTGCCTACGGGCGAATGAAATCATTAATTGGCTTTAGTCGGGTGATGTAAGGCCTATGGACGAATGATACTACCTACAGGCGCATGGTCCTGCCTATGGGCGAATAAAATCATTAATTGGTTTTGGTCGGGTGATGTATGGCCTACGGGCGAATGATACTGCCTACGGGTGAATGATACTTATATATGGCTTCGGCCGGGCGTAGGTTGGTGGCTTTGGCCCTAAGATATTTATATTGGTCTCGGCCAGGAGATGTAGTGCCTTTGGGTGAATGAAGATATATGTATATATATATGCCCTGTGCTACTACTACTAAGCACCCTATATACGATATATGTTTTATGAAAGGTTTTATGACATCCTAGGGTTTTCAGAAAAACCTATTACTTATTATGCTATATGAGTTTTCTAAACTTGGGGGTTAGTATGTTAAAGTTTAACGGTTTTAGTATTACTTATATCAACTTGGTCCACTCATGTTTTGTTTTGCGCCTCCTCAAGATTTAGAATCGAGACGTACAATCCTGGCGTCAAGGCATTCCCGAATCAGCATCTTCGAGTCTTTAAGGTGTAGAACCCATCTCTTTGTTCATTCAATTTTATATTATTCCTTTTTAGTGTCTTGGTTTAGTTGTATGTTTTGAAAATGTTCCACAATTGCATGTTCATTATAATTAAATTTACAAGCTTTATTGATGTGGTAGAAACTAACACACAAATTAAACCATATAAATTATGCAACCGTAGTATGAGTAAGTAGGGATCGTTCTATTTCAGGGATTAGAAGGGATGCTAATCAACACAAATTAAACTTATAAAACTGAAAACTAAGTTAAACTAACATCAAAACAATGACTGGTGGGATGTTGGACGAATTTAATTAAAACAAAAGTAAAGTGTAGCGAGTAAATTAAGTTGTGAATGAAATATGGATGAAAGGATAGCTAAAGGATTCTTCTCCACACATGAAACATATGCATACAAATCAATTTCCAGTTATTCTTCCTATAAACCATGAATGACAATACACTAATTAATTCTCAGATTTTCCTAAGTTCATTGAATTGGACTCAGCGACGCAACCAAATTATTTTTCTCAAGCTCCCTAACTATGAAAAGCATGATAGAGATACATCTCAAAGATCATTAAGTTATGTGAAAATCATAAGCATTGACAAGACATTCGTAACTATGAAAAGCATGATACTCCTGCCAAGAATTTACTTAACTCAATCATGACTAGTGACTTTTACTACTTGCAAAATATAAGTTCATAACGATTAGGTGAAATTCCTTTATATTCTAGCATCAAATCATTGCATACAAACTAAGTATGCATCCTTAATAAACATGCAAGAATAAGTTCTCCATAAAGCAGATAAGTAAATCACATTCATGTGTTATGAAATAATAACTAGATGTAATCAATTTATATAAAACATATGATCATGGCTTCGAATTCACCTCTAGCTAAAAAGAAACTTAGTTACACATGTTTATCATAACTAAAAAAACAATCTAAAATAAACATTGAAACTTAAAACAAAGATAGAAAGAACTCTGAAAATTCCAGCAACTTCTATGGATGAATGGTAGGTGCGGCACACTCTAAATCTCCACAGGAATTTCATATATATAGGGGGAATGGCTTAATCCAAGGAGGAAAAGGTTTTGGCATTTTGAATTATTTTAGGACTCTAAAAATTAGGTAGAGAGTCTTGAAATGTGATTAGGATTCCTCCTTGCAGCTGGAGATAAGATAAGATAAGATTGGATAAGATAAGATAATGTTCCTCTCCAACTAGGATTCCTCTTTCTTGTCTAATTCCTTGCCTTCCAATCCTCAACTTTAATTTCTCCAAATTTTAGCACATTTCTAGCACCATTTAAACACCAAATACGTCTAGCCCATATGCTTTCCACGCCTGCTATCCAATCCAAATCCAAAACTGCTCCAAATTGCTCCATTTTGCCATTTATTGTGATCTTTACCAATTGGACCTACAATAATATGAAAATAACTTAAATTACTACAATAAATAGAAATTAACTAAATAAATGTAAAGAAATATGACAACAAAGCCGCATAAATTTGCTCCTATCAAATTCCCCCACACTTAGCTTTTTTTAGTCCTCGAGCAAAACCTTCCAACAATTGCCTCAGGGATTTCTAATAAAACATGACATGTTAAAATCACTACTTACATAGATTTTAGCCATCCTTACTCTTGAGCTTATACTTAACCACAATAACCACTCACTACTCACATGTGATTAGGATTCCTCCTTGTAGT